CAGCAGCACGGCGCGACGCGCCAGCGCCCGCGGCGGCCGCCGCCTCCGCGCCCGCGGCGGAGCCGAGGTGCAGGGCCGCCACGGCGTGGCGCGCCGCTGCCTCTGGCCAGCGCAGCGCCGCCTCCGAGGCCAGCGCGCCCCGCGCCGCCGCGGCGGTGAGCGCTGCGTCGGCCTGGGGGAAGGGCCTTGAGCAGGCCGAGGACATGCTTGGGGGAAGGGCCTAGGGGTATGCCTAGGCAGCCCCAGGGGAAGGGCCTACAGCAGGCCCAGGGCAGGCCTTGGGAGAGGGTCCTGGGGTAGGCCTGGGTAGACCTAGGGGAAGGGCCTGCAGCAGGCAAGAAGGGTATGCTTAGGGGGCGGGCCTAGGGGTAGGCCTGGGTAGACCTAGGGGAAGGGCCTAGAGCAGGCCTAGGGTAGGGTCCTTGGTATAGGCCTAGGGAAGGCCTTCCCTCCAGGTTCTACAAGGCTATACATGCGTCGGCCTCCCCACCCCACGGCGGCGCGCCGAGCTCCGCGGCGCGGAGCGCTGCGGCCACGCCGCAGCTCCGCACCAGCACCCGCGGCCGCTGCGGCAGCGCGGCGCGCAGGCCGAGCGAGGCCGCCAGGTGCCGCACCGCGCCGGCGGAGAGGCCCGGCGTGCGCGAGAGCAGCAGCGCGTCCAGGGCCCCGAGCCTCAGGAGGCCCCCGACGCTCGCGTCGGAGACCGCGGTCCGGGGAGAAGGAGAAAAGACGGCAGAAACATAAGCTGTCGGAGGTCCGCGCGGAGTTCTTGGATCGGCGCCAGGCCCCCCTCCCTGGAGGCTCGGGCGGCGCCTCCGGCGCGGACCCTGGCGCGCCCCGCGCATCAGGGAGGGGGGCCATGACAATGGACACTCGAACAGTCCTACCGTTGAATTAAACATGTGTTTACAACGTGTAAAACATGTTCTCCAAATGTTCAAACATGTTTTTACATGTTTAAAACATGTTTAACACATGTGTATCACATGTTTTAGACATCAGGAAATTGTTTGGCAGCACGCTTCCTCTCCATTGATCGTCCTCCACACGCCTAGCGCCGATCCGAGAAGTCTGCGCGGAGTTCCGAAAGGCTATCTTTACGCAATCTGTTCTTCTTCGACTGGGACTAAGTCGGGCGTGTCCCCCTACAAGGGGATTTTGTACGAAAAATAAAGAATAGTCAAAAGATACTCCGAAATGGTCAAAGATAGTAGAAAAATCGTCCCCAGATTATTTTTCTATTAATTTTGAATATTCCCCCTGCAGAGGGACAGGCCCGACTCAAGACTGGGACAGGTCCAGGTGGGCGAGCTGGCGCGCGGCCTCGCTGCCTCCACCGCAGAGCTGCGCCACGGCCGCGTCGGACAGCCCCGCTGCGCCGCGCAGGGACAGCTGCCGCAGGGGCAGCCTCTGGGCGTGGACGGCGACCTCGTCCCCGATGCCGGGGCACTCGCCGCACACCAGACTCTGAAGCCAGAGGAAGCAAAAGGGGCATGAGCATGAACTTTTGGAGGTCCGCGCGGACTTCTTGGATCGGCGCTGGGCGCCCCTGGCAGCGCCTCTGGCGCGGTCCCTTGCGCGCTCCGCGCGCCAGGGATCGGGGCCCAGTACCGATCCCAGAAATTCGCACGGACCTCCGAAAGTTTATGCTCATGCCACTTTTTCTCCTCCGTGAAGCGACGGCTCCCGGTGGCACGCGAGCGCAAGCACGAACGCGCCCGTCAGGAGGGGGCAGCCGTCGAGGCGCAGCTCTTGGAGCCCCTCCGCACCGGCCAGCGGCGCCAGGTCGGTGTCCTTTGGAGCAGGGCAAGTTGAGACGACGTCAGCTCAGAGGACTCCCCCCGGGGTCCAAGCACCAGGGTCCCGAGCTGCGCCCAGCCGTGGCGTCAAGAGGGCCCCCGAAGGCCAACTGCCGGTGTCTCAACTCGCCCGCGTCCATGTCCTGGAGCTCGTAGGCGCCGGCCAACCGCAGCACTCGCAGCGCCGCCCACGCCGGCTCGGGCCAGGCCCGCAGACAGGCGGCGGCGCTCGCGGGCCACGCAGTGGCCGCGCAGAGGTGCAGCTCGGGCGGCGGCCGCCGCAGCGCCAGGCAGGCCCAGGCGGCGCCCGCGGCGGCGGCGTCGGCGGCGCCGCGCTGCGGCTGGGCGGCCAGCAGCGCCAGCAGCTCCCGCGCCAGGCACTCGGGCAGCAGCTCGACCTCCGGGCCGCTCCCGGCGAGGCACAGCGCGCCGAGGCGCCGCAGGCACAGCGCGCGCAGGCCCCCCTCTAGCGCCGCCGTCGGCCCCCCTGCTGGTGGCCGCGGCTCCACACGGGGGGGAGGCCGCGGCACTAGAGGCCTCCCAAGTGGGTCCGAGTAGATGAGGTCGGAGGATCACGCCGCATCGCCGACGCATCGGCGATGTATCGGCGTCGTCGGCGTGGAGAAAATCGAGCCCCACAGCAGGCCGCATCGTCAATACATTGGCGATGCGGCGCGATCCTCCGACCCCCTCTACTCGGGCCCAGTCTGGAAGGCCTGGAGGGACGGCGGGGAGGGGCTACCGCGGCCGCTCAGGCTGGGGCTCGCGCGCCTCTGACCCTTGAATCCTGGCTTCGTGGAAGAGAGAACACACACACACACACACACACACACACACACACTGCAAATAAGAAACGAAGCTACTAACCAGAATTGCAATTGTGGTGCTTAAACACAAAAATGTGTGTATACATTTATATATGTGCATATACACATCCGCCACCGTGCCTCTGGGCACGGAATGGGCGTGTCTTCAGGTTCTCTGCTCAATCCTCTCAGCCTCAATCATCACTCCTGAGGAGTCATTCCGAAATTTGGCGGGGCTTCTCGAGTGCCCCCTCAGCTACCCCGCATCTTGTCGCGTGACTATTCCTGGCCCACGAGGGCCCCAAGACGGGCCAAGAGGGCCCCAGGAGACCCCGAAGACAGTCGAAGAGGGCCCCGAATCGCCGAACGATCGCTCCAAGACGCTCAAGATGGCCCACAGACGGCCAAAGTGGCCTCCAAGACGCCCCAAGAGGCCTCCAAGAGGCCTTTCTCTTTCTTGCTCATGGGGACCAGATCCGAAGGAGAGCACTGACATCGCACCATCCCGACTGACGAGCGAATCCACTTACCTGCCCACGGGGTTGTTCCCTGAGGAGGCTTATCCTGCGAAGCCGACGTCCTCTGCTTCAAAGATGCGAACCACACTCGGCCAGCTGCCGCACGGACCCTGCCAGCATATGCCCGATGCATGCAACACCCCGCAGGCACGGCAGGCCTCAGGTACGCGGACCTTTGGTAGGATATTTTCCCTTGTCACTCGAGCGACCCTTCGCCCCCTTACCCCCTTTCGCGAAGCCAAGCCTCGAAGTTGTTTGGCTGTCTCGCCTTTTCAGGGTCCCGACGCTCCAAGACGGCCCAGGAGGCCCTCAAGATCGCCCCAAAACGGCCCAACAGGGCCCCAAGACGACAGAAGAGGCGCCGAAGACGGCCCAAGAGGGCCCCAAGACAGCCCCAACAGGGACCCAAGAGAGGGAACACGAACCGAAAACCCTTGCTTTCCGCCCCAAGAGGCCCCCAGGAGACCCCCAGAGGCGCCCAGGAGGCCCCAAGAGGCCCCCAAGAGGCCCCCAAGAGGCCCCCAAGAGGCCCCCAAGAGGCCCATCAAAACCGCCTCCAAGAGGCCCCCGAGAGGCCTTCCACAAAATCCCAACGAACATCCAATAGCCTTCATACCCATAAACCAGGCACGGTGGCGGGATTGGCTGAAGGCCATTTGATCCGCCGCCCCCTGTTGGCTTGACACAGGGGTGCCTGGCGTGCTGGATGTTTGGAGGTTGTTCGCTTTAGAACTCCCCCTGGAGCTTCGGCCGATGCCGCCGGCAACCCGGAAGGCTGCGTTCGAGGTGGCTGCAAAGGTTAATCCTGGCCTAGATGGCTCCAAGACGGCCCAAGTTTGCCGCCAAGACGGCCAAGATGGTTCTCAAGTTCGCTCAAGATGGTCTAAGAGGGCCTCCAAGACCGCCCAAGAGAGTCCAAGATGTCTCCAAGTTCACCCAAAAAGCCTCCAAGACGGCCCAAGACAACCCAAGAGGCCCCCAAGAGGCCTCCAAGACGGCTCCAGAGGCCTCCAGAAGGTGCTCCATGAGGGCCCGAAGAAGCAAAATAGCAGTGATTTTCCTTAGGCTGTTGATGGATGTGGGCATCTGCAGTGTTCCGGCCTTCCGACTGCCCGAGACGTCCCAAGAGGCTCCCGAGATTGCACCAAGGTCGCCAACGAGGCCTCCGAGATGGCCCCAGGACGGCCCAAGAGGCTCCCAAGATTGCACCAAGGTCGGTAACGAGGCCTCCAAGATGGCCCCAGGACGCCCCAAGAGGCTCCCGAGATTGCACCAAGGTCGCCAACGAGGCCTCCAAGATGGCCCCAGGACGGCCCAAGAGGCTCCCAAGACGGCTCCCAGAGGGCTCCAGACGAGGCCTCCGAGGCGGCTCCCCACGGGCCCCAGGACGGCCCCGAGGCCTCCAAGGCGCCCAAGACGGCCGTCAAGACGGCCCTGAGGCGCTCCATGACGAACCAACAACACACACCCATACCCATAGGGGGGTCGGAGAGGGCTATGGGTGCGTGTTGTCGAATGGGGGTCCTCGCTCGAAGGGGAGCGTTCCCCAGGGTCCGACAACCCGCACCCATACCCATAGCCAGTCCTCCTCCCAACGACCCCCCTATGGGTATGGGTGTGTGCTGTTCGTTCGTGACTCCAGGAGTGCCCCGGGACGGCCCAAAGGCTCCCAAGACGGCGTCCGACGGCTTCCGGCAGGCCAGGAGCGCTGCAAGACGACCAAAGAAGCCCCCCAAGGAGCCCCCGAAGGCCCCCAAGGAGGCCCCCAAGGAGGCCCCCAAGGAGGCCCCCAAGGAGGCCTCCAACAGGCCTCCAAGAAGCTCCCACGAGGCCCCAAGAATGACCCAAGAAGCTCGCAAGAGGTCTCCTCAGCCTTCTTCTCATCCTCCTTTTCCCTCCATCTCTTGATCCTCCTCTTCCTCCCCCACGTGTGCTTCCACAACGGCTGGGGGACGCATGGTCCAAAAGCGTGGCCAAACTTTGCCCAAACGTGTAGCCACATAGGCGTAGCCGAAAGTCAGGGGGCGCCGGTGATTCGCCGTAGGCATCTTCGATACATACCTATGCGTAAACATGTACACATGCCTACATGTTCAGCCTCTGGGGGCCCCACCAGGCCCCGGGACAGCCAAAGAACGAATGACAAGCTGGTTTCTCGGAAGGGTTCCAGACTGGAGGCGGGCGGCGGGGGGGTCTGAGCTAAATAAGACCAGGAAAAATCTCAAGACATACCGTTAGGTCAGGCATGTCCTCCAACAGACGGAGTTTGGAGGAGAAAAAAATAGAATGGTCAGAAAAGTTCTCAAACCTAGAAAACAGCCTTTCCCACTCCACCCACCCACCCCTTCTACTGGCCGGAACCAGTGCTGGGCCACCTCAGACCCCTCCCCCCAGCAGACACCACGGCCCAGACCTCTGGAGAGCCACGCTGCAAAAGATCACGGCGCTACATCTCTGAGGAGAGCGGCGGCACATCGCCGAGAGCCAGCAGGCTCCAGGCCCGTGGACCGGATCGAAGGATAGCCGAGGCATCGCCGATGCATCGCCGATTCAGCGGCGCAACGGCGCGTTCCTCCGACCCCGTCTGCTCGGACCACAGTTTGCAGGCCTGGACCCGCGCGCCCCCTCCCCCCCGATCCCGAAACCTGCCAGGCGACAGCCTGGCTGCCTCGGCTCTGCGAGCCACGCCCAGATCCGTGGCGACCAAAAATGAAAAAGTCCCGAGGGGGGAACGAGAGCGCACAGGTATCCTCAGGTCGGGCATGTCCTCCTGCCGGCGGGTTTTGGAAGAAAAAAACAACAATAGTTATAAAAATGAAGAAAATGTCGAATATTAATCGACCCCAGACTTGTTTAAACTAGTCTTGAATACTCCCCCAGTACAGGGACGTGCCCGACTTGAAGGTATCCTCTGGCATGGGTTGTTCCTTCCCCTGGGCCAGGCTTCCGCCCCAGGCCCCTTTGAAATGGCTTCGGCCCTGGGGCCCGATCACGGGCCCCAGAGGCCGAAATCGATGAAAGACGCCGCGATTTATCAAAAAACAAACAAAAAAAAAAAAACAAAAAAAAAACGCCAAAGGCCTGAGTATACCCTGAGAACCAGTGTCGAAAAAACAGCAGCACCGCGAAAGACAAGGACCAGAGCACTGGGCCTCGTCTTCCTGCGCAGTTTGTCTTGTCGAGCTGCATCGATCTGCGATGGCCCCGGCGCCCCCAAACTGGGCGGAAACGCCCGGCGTGAAGAGAGATTGCATCGCCTGGAGCTCGGGGATCCTCCGCCCCAGACGTGCGGCGCCTGGATGTCTTCAGCACGGGGCCCCCAGAAGTCCCGACCCTGTCCCCCAGGGCCGCTCTGCCACTTGTGCGCACACCGCTCCGCAGGGCCTCGTCTGCCCGGGCGCGGCCCGGAAGGAGGAGGAAGAGGGAGGAGGAGGAGAAGGAGGAGGAGGAGGAGGAGGAGGAGGAGGAGGAGGAGGAGGCGGAGGAGGAGGGAGGAGGAGGAGGAGGTAGGGAGGGGGGAGGGAAGGGAGGGAGGGAGAAGGCGGAGGAGGGTGAGGAGGAGGAGGAGGAGGCGAAGGAGGAGGAGGAGGAGGAGAAGGAAGAGGAGGAGGGAGGAGGAGGAGAAGGAGGAGGAGGAGGAGGAGGGAGGGAGGGAGGAGGGAGGAAGGTGAGGAGGGAGGGGACGGAGAGAGAGGGAGGAGGAGGCACGGAGGAGGAGGAGGAGGAGGAGGAGGAGGAGGAGGAGAGGAGGAGAGGAGGAGGGAGGAGGAGCGAGGAGGAAGAGGAAGGAGGAGGGAGGAGGAAGGAGGAGGAGGAGGAGGAGGAGGAGGGATATGAGGAGGGAGGGAGGATCGGAAGGAGGGAGGAGGAGGAGGAGGATGGAGGAGGAGAGGAGGGAGGAGGAGGGGAGAGGACGTGAGGAGAGGAGGGAGGAGGAGGGAGGAGGCGCAGCCCCCGACGCGCGGCGGTGAGCTTGCGCCGCCCGGCCCGCCGGGGGCTCCGCCGACGCTCGGCCCTGCGCCCCTGCCTGCGCACAGGCGCAGCGTGCGCCCGGCCTCGCCGCGCGGGACCCGCGACGCGCCCCCGACCTGCCCGCGCTGGGGGACGTCGGGGCGCGCAAGAGGAGGGCGTCCAGGAGGGGGGGGGGGGGCGTCTAGGAGGGGGGAGGGGGGCGTCCAAGAGGTGGGGGCGGCCAGGGCGGCCAAGAGTGGGCGTCCAGAGGGAGGGGGCGGACTGGAGGGGGGGGATGGGGGGGGGGAGGGGGATGAGGAGGGTTAGGAGGGGCGGGTGGGGGAGGGGGCGGCCAAGAGGGCAGGGCGCTCCAGGGCACGGGGGGGGGGGGGGGGGGTCGCGGCCGACATGGCCGGCGGCATGAGCGCGGCCCAGGGGGGAGGGCCAGGAGAAGGGGGGGGTGGGGGGGGCAAATCATGGCCAGCGGCAGGAGCGCGGCCCAGGGGGGAGGGCCAGGGACGCAATGGAACAAGAAGAGGCGCCAGTGAGATCTGGGGAAAGATCATGGCCCACGCCATGAGATCCACCTACCCCGCCGAGTCATCACCCCCCTCTGGGCCACCCCCGAGGACGGTTCTGGACCACTTCTTCGGCTTCCGGGGGGGGGCCCTCGCCGAGCGCCTGGCACGAACGAACGAACTCCGCCATCGCCATCGCCGCGAGGCCCAGCGCCCCTGCAAGGGAGGCAGGCGTGCCTGTGGCACGCAGGCCTTCTGCGAAGGCCAGGGGGAAACGGAATTGGAAAAGGAAGCCTCCCTCAAACAAAAAAACACAGGACCGTCAAAACACTGTCCGGGATGAAAAGCCAGCCCGGGGGCAAGGGCTGGGGACTTCCGGAGACTCCTGCCATGATCTGTTGCGTCGTCGCGATGTTCTCGCGATGTCGCATCTCGGGGTCTGGCACAGTTCGCAGAGCAAGCTCCGATCCTCTCGGAGGTGCCTTGGTGGGGGCACGGAGGCTCTGGAGGGCCACGGGAGGGCCTCCAGGGCCCTCCCGCTCTTCCTGCTCCTACTCCCCATCCCTTCTGTCCTCCTCCCCCCTCCATCCTCCCCCCTCAGTAATCCTGCCCCTTCCCCTCCCCCTTCCCTTTCCCGAGGCGGGCGTGGGGCAACGAGGCATAGCAGCCCAGGCCTGGCGGCATCGCGCATGGCCGGCTCAGCGCCAGGCACGGAGCCTCCACGTCGCCTCGGCGAAACACCGATCGCAGAGGTCGCCGTGGTCGATGTCGTCGTCGTCACCACCGCCGCCACCGCCGCTGTCGTCGTCGTCGACGTCGTCGTGGACGTCGTCGTGGACGTCGTCGTCGTCGTCGTCGTCGTCGTCGTCGTCGTCGTCGTCGTCGTCGTCGTCGTCGTCGTCGTCGTCGTCGTCGTCGTCGTGGACGTCGTGGCTGCCGCCTGCGGCAGCCACGACGAAGACGAAAGAAAAGGAGGAGGAGGAGGAGGACGACGAGGGAGACAGAGGAGGAGGAGGAGGAAGGAGGAGGATGGAGAGGAACAACCACTTGCTCGAATATCGATCATCACATCATCATCATCATCATCATCAATCATCATCATCATCATCACATATCATCATATCATCATTCAATATCATCAGCATCATTCATCATCATCATCATCATTCTCATCATCATCATCATTCATCATCAGCAGCATCAGCATCATTATCATCATTAATAATATCATCATTCATCAGCATCCATATCATGTTCAGCATCAGCATCAGCATCAGCATCAGCATCAGCATCAGCATCAGCATCAGCATCAGCATCATCATCAGCAGCAGCAGCATCATCATCATCATCATCATCATCATCATTATCATCATCACCATAATCAGCAGCAGCATCATCATCAATGATGATGGTGCTGATGATGGTGATGAAGATGATGATGACACCCTATCCGAATTACACCAGGGTCGTGCCACGACGACCTGCGCGCTGGTTTCTGGCACCGCGCAGACCGCCCAGCCTCGACCGACTTGCGGCACTTCGATCGCCAGATCGCTCCATGCTGGCCGCTGCCACGTCTCTGGCGGCGCTCAACCCTGAACGCCCGCGGCGGGAAAACTGCAGGCGTCGGCGCAACACGAACCTGCCGTACCTCTGCGAGGCTGTGCGCGCACGACCCGGAGCCCCCCAGGGCCCAAAAGGCCCCTGGGGTAGTTTTTCGCCCCGGATTCGCTTTCTACGACCCTGGGGCCCGAAGACGGCCACCAGAGGCCGAAATCGAGGAAGAACGCCTGGATCTAAGGGGGGGGGGGGGGAAACAAAAAAAAAAAAAAAAAAACATCGTCGGAGATCTGGGAGCCCTGGGCCCTGCCACCTTGCAGGGGTGCAAAGCAGCTTGCAGACCTCGCCGAAACCCTTGAAGATGTAGATCATCGCACGGGTGAGTGGCTCCCCGTCGGAGGCCGCAGCCTAGCGTCTGGGTGGAGATTCCACACACCCACTCACACACAAACAACACGAGCCCCGAGCCAGCACGGCAAATGTCAATGAAGCCAGGCAGCCTCCCAAGCCCAGCTGGAGGGAAGGAGGAGGACCAGCGTAAAAATGCTTCAGCGATGCTGAAGCATACCCTCCCGTCTCAAAAAAAACTTTCGATAACTCCCTGCAGGCACTACTTGTCACTATGAGAAGCGTCCCCACGCAAGGAGAGTTCCCCATGGGTGTGCAATTCACGCGAGAGCCTCGCTTTAAAAGAGAGAGAGAAGAGAGAGAGAGAGAGAGAGAGAACAAAAAAAGCGCCCCGCGCTAAAAAGAACCACCCGACCAACTTTCTAACCGTTGCAACCTGTAAGAACGACGATCATAAAAAATAGCGGCGCCTCGAATCAGAAACTCACGTTAAAAACGAGGTATCTCCATCCGCGAAGCTGTTGCACGTATGTACCCTGATGGTTATGCTTTCTCTGAGGGGGGAGCGCCCCATCCCGAGAAGGAACTGCAACAAACATGTTCGGCGCCACGGCGAGAGCCACGTTTTGAAAAGCAGCCGCCCTGGGATTGTGTAACTGTTGGAAAATTCAAATTTCAGGGTCGGGCATGGGAAGAGTCCTCAAGCGAAACGCCTGGCCCGCCCTACCGACACGCCTGGCGGTGCGACGAAGGGGACAGTATGAAGATAAAGGTGGATGTAGATTGGACATGTGTGACTGGACGAGGAGCTCCATCTTTGAATACATACATAGGTACACATATACATTTACTATCCATACATGTATACCTACATATATACATATATACACGAGTACATATTACAGATGCATAAACATATATATATATATATATACAGACATACATGCAGTGTACGTAAATGTAGATATGGGAGAGAGCGTGATCCACCGCCGCCTTAATGTGGAAAATTGCTGCCTTTTTCCTCCGGAACCCGGGAGTCCTCCCCCCCCCACTACCCATCCCCCCCCCCACATGCTGGAAACCCCCCCTCCCCCCCCCGCCCCCCCCCCCCCTCCCCCCCCTGGGGCAAACCCCCCCCCCCCCTCCCCTACCCCCCCCCCCTCGAATCGAAAAAACCGGGGGGGGGTCACTACCGGTTCGACCCCCCCCCCCCCTTCGAAAACCGGAGGGGGGGTCACAACCGGTTCGAACCCCTCCCCCCCCCCCTCTCACCGCCAGCAAACGACTCCCGGTCCCTACCACCGTCCTCACCACATCCCCCACTGTTGTTCCCAGCACCACTGTCCTCACCACCACTGTCCCCACTGGTTCCACCACCGCCCCTACTGTCCCCACCAGTGCCACCACCACTGTCGCACTGTCCCCACTGTCCCCACCACTGTTCCCACCACGGCTCCACTCTCCCAACTTTCTCCACGGCCCCAACCACTGCCCGACTATCCCCACTGTCCCCACTGTCCCACTGACTCCTCCGCTGTCCCACTGAGCTGTCCCACTGTTCCCACCACTGTCCCCACTGTCCCCGCCACTGTCCCCACTGTACCTCTGTCCCATTGTCCCACCGCCGTCCTCGCCACCGCCTTCACCACTGTCCCCACCACCACTGTACCCTCCACTGTCCTACTGTTTCCACCAAATTCCCACTGTCCCCACACCACTCTCCCCATCACCACCGTCCCCACCACTGTCCCACTGTCCCCACTGTTCCCACCATTGTCCTCACCATTGTCCCCACCACTACCGTCCCCACCAATGTCCCACTGTCCCCACCACTGTCCCGCTGTCCCCTCGCCACTGTCCCCACCACCGCCGTCCCCACCACTGTCCGCACCCCCCCTCGGTTTTCGAGGGGGGGGGGGGGGTCGAACCGGTAGTGACCCCCCCCGGTTTTCGAGTTCGAGGTGGGGGGGGGGGAGGGGTCGAACCGGTAGTGACCCCCCCCCCTTTTCATGATGAACTGGGGGGGGGGAGGGGTTCGAACCGGTAGTGACCCCGCCCGGTTTTCCGGAGGGGGGGGGGGAGGGGTTCGAACTGGTAGTGACCCCCCCCGGTTTTCCGCCAGCAGCGGTAGAACACGCTCTTTCAGATATGGTAACACATGTTCAGATGTAGAACTGCAAAAATGCACATAGACGCACATGCATACACGAATGTATGTATATAACCATCTATAACAGTATAAGATAACACACATGCTAATGTTGGTATACACACATAGTTGTTAAGTCAGCGCGGCAGCAGATGGAAGTGCTAATTGCGATCGAGCATAATCGAAAGCGCAGCGAACGAAACGTCAATCACTGACGTGCAGGAAGGAGTGGTGGGTGGGAAGGACTGTAACCCAGCGAGCGTGCAGCGGCCAGAACACCCAGGAGCACGTCCAAGCGAGCTCGACTCAAGGTGAGCTGAAGCGCGAGCAGTGTGGTGCTAATTGCCAGTGAACCATCGAGCTAGCAAAAAAAGACAACGGAAAGAGCCTGCTAAAACAATCGGTTTCCTCATTCATAGAAAACGGATCCGGGACCATTTCGGGCGTGGCAGGGGAGGCTGGTTCCGGAGCGCCCCAGGAGGGCCCAAGACGGCCCCAGATGGCCCCAAGACGGCCCAAGAGGCCTCAGGAGGGCCCGACGAGCGCCCGAGGATGGCCACGATGAGCCCCAGATGGCCAAAGATGGGCCCAAGATGGCCACTCGACGGCTCCCTAGATGGCCCAAGGGAGCCCGAAGCCCCGGGAGGCAAAAATCATATCTTCTTAGGTGTCGGTGCCATTTTCGCATACGTCTCCAGAGCGCTCGAGACGGCCGAAGAGGCCCCGTGATCGCTCCAAGATGGCGCCCAAGAGGGTCCCAAGACGAGCCCAGGACGGCCGGCCCAAGACGGCCCCAAGACGCTCCAAGAGGGTCCCCAGAGGGGCTTCAGACAGCACAAGAGGGCCCCAACACATCCCAACAATGCCCCCAGACCACCCGTGAGCAACCCCAAGAGGCCCCTTAGATTGGCCAGAGAACCCAAGAACGCCCTAGGGGGCCCCAAGGCGGCCCAGGAGGCCCCCGAGACGGCCTGAAAACAGCCTCAAGAGACCCCGAAGAGGGCCCACTCGGGCCCCCACATTGGCACGGCAACGGGCAGAAAATAAATATGTTTGCGCATTCCAGTCTCCTTTCGTTCGAAAGTAGTTGATGCTGAAACTGACTTTTCCTCACCGTGCGCATTTGCCGCTGGGTTGCCATCATCGCGTTACTATTGGACGTGAGCATGTTGTGCATGAGTGGGCGCTGTGGACGCGCGTATTCGTCGTGTGCAAGGAATAAGAAGATGGAGCAGGAGAATTAAGGAGGAGGAGGCAGGCATCCTCATCATTCCATGCCTCTGTCTCTTACTCACGCACTGGACCTCTTCGGTTATCTTCAGTTTCCTCGACATCCTCCTTCTCACCACCATCGTCACCATCCTCATCACCACCATCATCAACAACAACATCAATAGCATCAGCATCGGCATCGATGCAATCATCGTCATCGTAATCACCCTCATCCTCCTTATCCTCCTGATCCTCTTCATCTTCATCAACATCCTCCCCATACTCCTCCACCTCCTCATCCTCCTCCTCCTCCTCCTCTTCCTCCTCCTCGACCTCCTCTTCCTCCTCCTCCTCCTCCTCCTCCTCCTCCTCCTCGCCCTCATCATCATCAGCAGCATCACCGTCACCATCGAATCATCGGCGTCGTCCTCCTCTCTCTCCTCCACCTTATCCATCTAC